AGACCTCACGTGTATTTGCCTTGTCAGGTAGCGTTCGTTTCTCGTTCCGCTAACAACTACACCACCCACATATACACATCTACGCAAAAACACGCACACAAATGTGTGTGTGGGGGGGGTACGTTCATGTGTGTTTATGTACCATAACTGTATTTCATCTATGAGCGATTTGGTTGAAGATGTGTATACGTATGTGTGCGTGTGCATGTTTGTGTGTCCATTGAATATTTTTAGTTCTGTCTGATATAATGCTGTTTTTTGATTGAGAGATGTTTGATGTAGCGGTGAAAGAATTTTGATTTTACATTTATGATAAAGTTTAAATAAAAGCGAAACATGTTTAATTTATAAATATTTACCATTTTTCCTTATCCTTTCACACAGATATATATATATATATATCAAGCAACTTTGGTTGAATAATCTAGACACATTTTGGAATACTTAAATTGTAAAAAGATGTTTTATTTTAAATTACATAATTTTAAATTGACTATAATGAGGCGCGTTTCATGCGCATTTACAAAACAATTCACAACTACCAATTACATTAATTTTTGTCTTAGAAATTCACGCGTTAAGATGATCTTGGATGAGATTGAAAGTATTTGGAAAAATAAAAGGAATGAGAAAAACTACGGCGTCTTACTTAATCTGTTTGATAACAGCGCTAAGATATTGATCCGAGAATTTGAGAGGATTAAAATAAAAAATAGACATATTTTTACATTATTCAACCAAACATGCTTGTTTTTATATATATATATATATATATATATATATATATATATATATATATATATATATGATTGAATAAATTACAAACATTATATGTCTATGCCTAGTGTTTTCTCGATTGAAAACTTTCATTGTTCAGTTCCGTGTATAGCTATCCACACGCTTTAATACGCGCTTGACCATGACATTCCGACATAAAAGAAAAATTACATAATGGATAACTTTTCACGTTTTAATGAACTCTAAAGCAAAAATCTCAGCCGTTGCCTTTAAACGCATAATTTTTACTTTACCATTTGCACCTCTGATGATGATCTCTGAAAGAGATGAAATTTACTTGGGAAATGTAAGTGATTTTCACTGCTACAGTGCATTTCTTGCCTCATTTGATTGTAATATACAGAAAAATATTCGTGAATCTGAAAGGATTATGATAAAAATAAGCAGACATAATGTTTGTAATTTATTCAATAATATATATTTGTGTGTGTGCGTGTGTTATTATGCGTGGATGCATGTACTTATCCTTCAATCGGATTCTCATTCAAGTTTACTCATAAAAACACAGACACAAACACACATACAGACACATATATATGTGTTCGTGTGTGCGTGTGTATGTGTTTATGTGTATTGTGTAACTGTTTACTTTGTACGTTCCGCAATGTTTGTTTCATCAACCACTCCAAAGTCAAGTTTTTCTGAGAAAATATATGTCGTCTGCGAAATGAAACACGAGATCCTGTGAGCATAGGATTAATAAGTTCTGATATACGATCTACGAGTTCTACAAATTCATTGAAGGGAATGATCTCAAAGAGTAGAAATCCGGATCCCCTACGAATGTGTTTTTAAGACTTGTCTGCCATAATGATTATTCATTTTAAAAGTGCATATGTTTTTTAAAAAAGAAAAACGAGGTTTATACTTTGTACTTCTGTTAATATTATTTCACTAAAAAAAAACAACTATTTACATTATTCAGACTATTGTCCTCATCACCATATTTATTACAACGTTTCGGCCGTTGTACGCTCCGGCCTTCGTGGTTGGAATGTCGAACTGAACCCTTTATTTCGCTCACTGGGGTAGACTGTTCTAGTTCCATGTGCCATGTTTGATAGATGTCAGTCGTCAGTTATCTCCTGTTAATTTCCCTTCAGTTCGACATTCCAACCACTTGAAGAAGGCCGGAGCGTACAACGGCCGAAACGTTGTAATAAATATGACGACAAAGATGAGGACAATCGTCCGAATAATGTAAATAGTGTACATAATACCTCATCTCATAAATATAGAGATACTAAAGTGCCGAAACGTTGTAATAAATATGGAGACAAAGATGAGGACAATAGTCCGAATAATGTAAATAGTGTACATAATACCTCATCTTAGAAATATAGATGGATACTAAAAAAACAATGTGGACAAAATTACTTCAAAATAACCAAATGGTAATATTTCTACAAATACTTATTAAATTTTGAACTTGGGATTTTTGTAAGATCAATTCAACTCCAGCTGTTAGATCCGCTACGTATGATTCTGAGTAGTTTTCCGGCAATGAAAATTATTTGGTGGTACCTCTTCCTCTTCAACTAACATGCTACAGGTTGTACGGTGTTAAATGGGACTTATGATAAAGTCCAGCCAATACAAAACGTTTAAGTCACTCAAGGTAGAGAGTGTAAAAATGATGAATGGGGTGAATGAATGAGACAGAGGGTGGTAAGAAGTGATGATTAGGATAAAGAGGATAGATAACAATTGCTCCTTGACTTGAAATAGCGACAAAATAGCGATTGGATTACAACGTTTTATCTGTTGAAAAGAGGTTGCACAGCGCAAAGTGCGAGAAAAGAAACTGTTAGCATAGAACTTACGGTTTCATCTAACCAGTCTAACTATAAAATGATGCGACCTTGTTGCTAATCCAGTATTCCTACTTTTACATCGGTATTTGTTTCATAAGTTCATTTGTCGTTTGTTTGTCTGCACTGGCCAGATCTACTCGTATAAGAAAGAAAGAACAAAAAGATAGAGAAAAATAAAAGATAAAAGAGGCGTAGAAATATAAAATCAGCAGAAAAGAGAAAGATAGAATGTCCATAAAAGAAAAAGAATATATAAAATGGCGGACGAGAAAGGAAAATGTATAAAGAAAAGAGTAAATGAATGCCTGAAGAGCAACAGAGAGAAAAGAAAATCAGGTTTCAAATTCATATAAAGAATTGTTTACGTGGCTTGTAACATTTGATAAAGCGATGACAATGTTTAAAATGTGAAAATGTCGAAAACAAATCAAAGGAAACATTTAAAATGATATTAAATCGTTCAAACATCACGAAAAGATGTCGTCTCATGCAATCTCTGGTTAAAAATGCGAATTGCACTGAAAGACACCTTGTTTCAGTCTATAAATATTCTATATGTGCAATTTTCGAAACCCCACCTTTTTGAATAGTTATACCCTTGACTGCTTATAGGTAAAGGCAATTTTATTATTCGTATTTTATTTTACTTAGATGATAATTTATTAGTTTAATCAGTGCTTAACTGCGATGTAATAAACATATTCACTTGACTTTGCGTCGACCGATCTTTAATTTTTGATCGTTGCAAAATGCTTTGATAGGAAAACTTTTCTCTACTGAAAACGAGATTCAAGAGTTCGTCGAAACATTTTTGCATCAGAATTTTTATGTGGAATTTTGTTCAAATGATATGGAAAAACTACCTGGTAGGTGGCAAGAAATCATTGCAAATAATTGACTGATTAATTCGTCTTCTACAACTTATTCCTTTGCAGGTTATTTAAAGCCAGAAAATATTTTTTATTTTGTAATAATTTTTTTTTAGATAATTGATTTAGTGATTCAAGTTTTAATAATTAACCCATAGCAGGGATTTGTTTTTTTTGTTTTTTTTTTTTTGATAAATTGATTTATTTATTTATTACGGCTTATCAACCTTTTGCAGCTTATTTAAAGCCAGAAAATATTTTTTCAATTATAAGAATTTAATTTGAGATAATAATTGCATAACAACATAAGTCTTAATAATTACCTAAGGGCAAGATTTTTTGTTCTTAAATTGATTGATTTTTTTTACATTTTACCAACATTTTGTAGGTTATTTAAAGACATAAAATATATGCAGATTGTAGGAATTTCTGTGAGATAATGATTTACTGATACAAGTTTTACTAATTAACCCATAGCTGGGGGGAGAAGACGTGGATCCATACCTTTCTCAAGGATACACAACGGGAATTGGGACTTTTAACAATTCCATTATACATTTCGCACATCCAAGCTTACAGAACCGTTGATTTCCCTGCTATTATATATGGGCGCATGCCTTAGTGGTTAGAACGTCCAATTTCTGACCATGAGACCCGGGTTCGAATCTCGCCATGGTCGACTATATTTTGACCGTAGGGACTAACACTTTATGCACAGATCATAATTTGTTAAGAATATGACTTCTTGATAATATCGGCCTGGGAAAGTGATCCCGGTGTACGGCACCTTTAGGAAGTGCCTCTAAAACGATACCACAGGTTAACCGAAGCCATTGGGTAGACGGAAGATTTACGTCGATGTTTGTGCTGGAGTTAAGCCACAAGTCATCATGAACGAGGGTTTGAGGCCTGTTGATGGCGCCATATGGTGTGCTCTCTCACAGAAACTTGTAACTAAAGCCCGTTCAGTATAAACCACAATTTGGCGCTGCGGGTGTTGAACCAACATATATATGCCTGAGCAGGTGCCTGAGCAGGTGCCTGAGCAAGTGAGACTGGCGATCCATCTTAGCACACCGGGATACTCGGAAATGAGAGGCCTGCCATTATGTTATCATTAAATTAGTGAATTTTTGCACTTATTTTAAGCATTGCAATCTGCTCTTCGTGATTTTACGTTTAATTAATTTCCTTTGATTAATAAAGAAATTGTTTCCCGGTTAAAAATCCATCTGAATGCATCATTATCAATGTTTTTGTCTAAAACAGCATGTCAATTTGGTATTAACGCTATTGACTTCTAAATCGTATAACAGATTGTAGTCAGTATCTTTTTATTTGCCTCTCGGAAACTAGATTTAATAAAGGTTACGCGTTTGATTAGACAAAAAAATAAAGACAATTATTTAATCAAATGCGAACAAAGAATCGATACACGAAATGTGTGCTTAAATGTAAAAGAATGAAAAAAGATGCTTTCAAAAACCAATAATATTTCTTTTCTTTTTATTATGAATAGGGCCACTGTTATTGAGGAAGCTGACCTCTGGTACAAAGACCACGGTGATCTAACGAAGGTCATCTGCGAGGAACCAAGTAAGTTAAATTCTTTTTCAGTTAATCTCGCCGTCTTCTTCTTCTTCTTCTTCTTCCTCTTCTTCTTCTTCTTCTTCTTCTTCTTCTCCTCTTCCTCCTTCTTCTACTCCTCCTCCTCCACTTCCTCCTTCTTCTACTCCTCCTCTTCCTCCTGCTATATGTTTTTTCTTTCTTTTCTTCAGCATCTTCGTTTTCCATCTTATTTCTACTACTGCTACCCACATTACTACTATTTAAATTACTATTACTACTACTATTTTCTTTTCTTTTTTTTCTATAAACGCTGAAATGAGTTAATAAAATTTCATATTTGGCTTTCGTTTTTGCTTTTGTCCTGTTTTGTTGTTTTATGAGCGGGAATTAGAAAAATCTTTTTTGTTTTTTAGGGAATCGATGATCGGAATGATTACTCAATTTTTAGCTGATTATTTCTTGAATGTTCTTTCTACTACTTGTGCTACAATACAACTGTTATTACTAATATTTTTCTGTGACATCGTGAAGAAATTACTTTTTTTCTTTACTTTTTTTTCTTTACTTTTTTTTTGCAAAAACTATTTTTATCTTGCTTCCTTTTTGTTTGTTTGAGTTTTTTTGTGTTTTTTTTTTACATTTTTATTCTTACACAACATTCCGGTTGTCATCTGTTTGTTATCAGGTCATCATCAGGTACGATTCCGCTACTTCCTATAAAACAACATGGCTGACGTGTCAACGATTGATTCAGCAACAAGCAAAAAGAAATTCACCTTTAGGTGAACCTATCAAAATGTAAAAAAAAATGTTTAAACTGAAAAAAAACATTTTTACGGAGTTAATCAATAGCGCTACCCAGACGTGCCTATTTTATATTCCCTTGGGTTCAGTGGGACGCATTCACTAGCGATTCGCTATCACCTATCTTATTCTCCATCGACAGGATTTGTTACTTCTTTAACGCTTATCAACATCTGCCATGATGTCAAGAATTCCTCAGCTTAGTCATCGAAAATAAAATTTCAATCCAAGAGAATTTTAGACTTTGAAAAATGATTCCATGCATATACACATGTTAGTGTCAACTGCTCCATATTTTGACTTTAATTTCGCAAAATTAGATATCTGGAATCTGACTGGCTTTGACCATTTGGAATATATCTAAAGACAATAAACATCATTGTTTAAGCTAGGTTTCGACGACTTCCTCAGAATACAATACGAGAAACATACATTGGCTTCACTCGAACAACAAGTTTCCGCTACCTGACTACGCACATCACGGGTAACAACTTTGCAGGCAATCTTTCTTTAATCTCAAACTGGATAGAACAGACATTTCTTTTCCGACGAGAGATTACATCAGAATTGGTAGGATCACACTTTAAATCAAAGACAGTTGAGTAGATGTTATATAATCAAACCGACGGGGAAATTATCATTTTAGAAAGAAATAGGTTTAAGCAAGTCGACGACTTCAAGTAGCTTGCTGCTTGGATTCCATGAAGTAAAAATAACACGGAAATTAAATTTAAGCGCACTAAAAAAATGGCTCGGATTGAGGATTCGGAGAGCCGAGTTCGAATTCCAGTCGAATCCATTACATTCACTTACGTGCTAATACCCTTGGGAAAGGTATGAATCCTCTTCTCCCCCTCCCAGCTATGGGTAAATAGCAGGACAGGCAAGGTTCTATAGACTTGGATAGCAACTGGTCTACCGCAGAAAGAAATGGCAACCTACTGCGGGAAAAATCTGCCTCGTCAGTCATATATCCAAAGATACATGATCACCTAAAAATGTATCACACATGGCACATAACTGACTGATATTCACTTAAGTGCTAATACCCTTGGGAAAGGTATGAATCCTCTTCTTCTCCTCCCAGCTATGGGTAAATAGCAGGGCAGATCCGGTTCTATACCCTTGGATGGCAACTGGTCTACTGCAGAAAGAAATGGCAACCTACTGCGGGAAAAATCTGCCTCGTCAGTCATGTATCCAAAGATACATGATCGCCTAAGCGTATATCACGCATGGCACATAACCGACTTACTTTCCACCCCCATCTCTAACTTGTTCTAGCGGTAGAATGTTTTGCGGTTTTTAAAATAATAAATCACAATGTGCGACACTGAGATCTGTAGACGTATTGGGATGGCCAAAGACGCATTCCAAAAGCTGGGCAGATTATTGCAAGACAGGAGGATTTCTTTGGTAACAAAGAAAAGAGTACTGAGCTGTTACATGACATCTGTTCTTCTTTACGGCAGCGAATGTTGGACAATTTCCTCAAAGATGAAGAAGAGACTCGTGGCGACGGAGGTGTGATTCTGCAGAGGATATCGTAGACTGAACGTGTGAGCAACGATGAGGTTTTGGAAAGGATGCAAACAAAGAGTGAGAATTAAAAACAAATATAGCAAATAGAATGGTAAAGCTCGATCGATTGAATTTTTAAAAAAGAAATGTTTTACATGTGAACAAGAAAGTCACGTCAGCCGTATCGAAAATCTGAAAACATAACGAAGCATCTTCAAAAAGTGTGTATGTATATATATATATATATATATATATATATATATATATATATATATATATATATATATATATATATATAAGGTGGATTTAGGCAGCAGTAATTCTTTCAAGCAAATTCTGTTGAGTAATATCGACAAGTTTTGACTATCCAGCTTCTTATGAACTATTTAAAAACTATGTAAAACCTTATTTTCCCCAAAAAATATGTTGTGTTGCATACATTCTACATTGGTTGCCAGGTCATGTAAAAAAATCGAACAGGCTTCCCACGCATATCTATATAGTAATATTTTTTTCCGTTTGTACGTTATTTTTATTGATATATTTTTTTAAATGTAATTGGTCTGTTTTTTTTTGTTTGTTTGTTTTTTAATTAAAGACATTTTCTTGTCTGAATGCTCTAGAAATTTCGTAGAAAATATGTACTTCTTCGACAGGAATCGAACCTGTAACCCTTAATGGAAGTTATCATTTGATCTGATGTGCTATTAACCATTCAGCTACAATGACGCATCTGGTTAGCAAAGTCAAAATTTCGGTTTATAAACAAACACCTTCGAAATAACGTATAAACGGAAAATATATTAAAATAATTGTCGAAAGTAATCCATTTCATAATATATATATATATATATATATATATATATATATATATATATATATGCATACTCACATATATATATATTTCATGCCAGACCTGACGATTGCGCCTAGCATGAAACAGACTGTCGCCACTAAGTGTTGACTTCTATGTTCACTTTTATATTTACACACGCTCTATCTCTGATATTGAGCACTTTATCCCATAAATATAGCACATCTTAAATATTTGTATCTATAAAAAGAATGTATAAACATAAAAAATATCTGAAAAAATAATTGTTGGACTTTGTCAATTTCATAATATATATATATATATATGTGTGTGTGTGTGTGTGTGTGTGTGTGTGTGTTTGTGTATATATATATAAGAGCTGAATTCTTGTCATGTAAAAACTTGTAATTATGGCTTGTCAGACCATCGCAATCTCCACTGATGAAACGCATTACCCACCACATATATATGGCGTTTTGTGTCCTTTGTATAATATATACCAATGTATAATATCAATATGATATAAAAATGAAATATGATATCAAAATATATATGAAATATGATACCAAAATATACATGCATTTGTGAAATGGATATATGTGGATTTGTGCCTTGCATAAATATATAAACAAGGTTTTCTATAATATGATTGTTAAATAATTGAATAAGTTTTCGGTCCAGTGTAGGCGCTGAGAGATGTACACGTGTGTCTCCTGAAATGCCCACAACAAATATATTCTGAGTATGAGTCCACATAAAGAAATAGAAAATAAACATCAAGAATTGATATATATGTAGAAACAAATGAATATGTATTAACCAACAAAGGTTTACAATTGACAAAGACAATAATATATGTGTACAAATAAATGTGGAAAGTTTGTCGTTCAAAGTATGTGTGAGTCAATGCGTGTACCTACGTATGTGCGTGTGTATGTGATGTTCATACGTGTCTCAGAAAAGAGATCACGTCCTTCCGCTAGAATTTTTACATGTTTTCATATTAGCGAACGAGGAATGATATCGCCGAGTATATATAGTGCTGGAGAGCGTCCCCTAGCAACAGTTATGGAAATTAGGAGGACGTAACCCGACATAACTAACAAACTGAATCGTTAATTATTCGTTATAGTTTAATATGCTTTACTCAGAGTGTGATCAATTTTGATTGATCTGTTCATATCGATTTATCAATGAATCGCCCATATTATAAGCCACTAACAGGAAGTGAATGAAAAGGCAATGGAAAGAGAGGGAAAGATAAAGTAAAAGTGTAAGAGAGCTAATGGGTTAGTAGTTAAGTTTTCTTTTTATATAACAAATTGAATAAAAAGTAACCAGAAGAACGTCACAGAATGGATTGCCCGAAACCTTTTGGCAACAGAAAAAATGAAATGAGAAAAATTTTTTGTTATATACCGTACTTATGAACATTAATGGGTATATCCCAATCCTCATAAATACGTAGGACACTATTGTAAGTGGGGGTAATATGGTGTCTAAGTAGTCCACAACTAGCAGTGGTTTACCTACTTCACGCCGCTGGCGAGTATTGTATTTTGTTGATGTTATAAAGATTACCATTTCATTTCCAACCTCCATTTTGGTTATTCCTCATTCAGTAACCTTTTCTAGGTTGCAACAATATGAAAAGGCATTGGAATATGATTTTACAATGAAAATGCATTGGAATGTGATTTTACGATGAAAATGCATTGGAAAGTAATTTTACTATGAAAATGCATTGGAAAGTGATTTTACTATGAAAATGCATTGGAATGTGATTTTATTATGAAAATGCATTGGAATGTGATTTTATTATGAAAATGCATTGGAAAGTGATTTTACGATGAAAATGCATTGGAAAGTGATTTTACGATGAAAATGCATTGGAAAGTGATTTTACTATGAAAATGCATTGGAAAGTGATTTTACTATATGTTATATACCGTATCCATGAATACTAATGCGTATGTCCCAATCTTCATTATTGTATAGGACACTATTGTAAGTGGTTTACCTATTTCACACCACTGGCGAGTATTGTATTTTGTTGATGTTATAAAGATTACCATTTCATTTCCAACCTCCGTTTTGGTTATTCCTCATTCAGTAACCCTTTTCTAGGTTACAACACTCTTCAAAGAATTATTGAAATTATTTACTACTTCCCCAAGACAAAATACACGACTGCAAAAATGTTTTAAAAATGTTTAAAAAACGGCTAAATTCATAACCTCGTGTTATTTAAAATATAAAACACAAATTAATCATAGTCTGAAATAATTTAAATACTAATTTACATAAATGTTTGCATTTGCCTTGTTAGATTCCCTCAGAGGGCGAAACGAGTCGATTCAGATATTCTCCCTAAAATATCAGTAGAATGGGAGAAATATTACGAAACGGGTGACTCAGGACATTGAAATTGAATAAAACATGTCGCGATTCTAGCATTAGATAAGCTGCCTGACAG